ATACAATTTAAGATTAGGAAACATAATAAGTTTATAACCTCATTCAACAACAAAATTCTACTTTAATGACATTACTCATTATATGCCAAATTTTGTTAATGGCTCATTATTTCTAATTAATATTAGGAAGTGTAGTTTTAAAAACTACAATAATTACGCAGTTACACTAAATGAAGAAAATAAAATAAATAAGAAATAAAATATACGAGCAATTACATGAAATCACAAGAAGTAAAGATAGGTAAATAAAAGATAAATAATGTACAAAAAATATATTTTAAAATTAAAAAAGAAATTAAAAAGTAAAATAAAATAAAAAATTATAATAATGGAAATAAAAAGTTATAAAGAAAATAAATTAAAATAAAAACAAAAAGGAAAAAAATTAAAAAGTAACCTTGTAATTATACAGTGTAATTACCACCAATTCTCACCTCCCCCTTGAGAATTGGAGAGTGTAATTACACCTCTCCAATTACACCAAATTACATGCTGACCAAGTAATTACTTGACCAGACAAACATGCCAAACTATGTAATTATACCCAATTACACCAAAATCCAATTCCTAGGTGACTTTCCAAACATACTCTTAATTTTTGTTGCACATGAGAAACACATGGAAGAGCGATTCCAGTGCTCTTAATTTTTGTTGCACATGAGAAACACATGGAACAACGATTCCAGTGATCTTATTCTCTTGCTTTCCTTCTTTGTGATTGAGTAAATGTAAACTGTATAGTATAATCCTTCTTTTATTGGATAAATAGTGAAGGGTAATGCTCTGTTTATAATTATTTAACTGTGCTTTACTACGAGAAATAGTGCTTATGATTAGCAATAGGAGTGTACAAGGACCGGGTTTGTTCGATTTTTATTAAAACCAAACCAAACCAATTATATCGATTTGGATTGGTTCGATTTTATCGGATTTTCGGGTTTTTTTTGTTACATAAATAATATGCCAATCTTACTTTGTTAAATTTTTGATAAGTAAATATATAATTGATAAAAATTAAAACAATTGACAAATATATAATTTATTAAAATATTTTTATAAGAGAATTATTTTAGTAGCACATGATAGTTAATTTTTTAGTTGTCAGACAATAACTCTTCGTTGATGTACACTTTCAAATTTAACTGAATTTAATAATTAAATATAAAAATTAACATGATACCTAAATAATGATATGTTCTATTTAACTTTCACTTATCGAAATACCACTTCAAATTCGAAAAAGATATAAGAAATTAATAGATCTTGACATATGAATATGGAAGAATAAAAAGATTGACACATTTCAATAACATTTGATAAGAAAGTGATTATACAACACATTATTTAAAGTTAATAAAATTGGAGCACTTTATATTCTATTAAATATTACATCCCATAAGAGAATTTCATTATTTCTAGACACTTTTTTAAAGAAAATTCTATATAAGGTCTTAAAATTATATATAAAAATTATATATTTATATGCCGATTTGGTTCGGATTTTTTTTATTCAATACCAAACCAAATCAAACCAAACCTCATCGGGTTTTTTAATCGATTTAGTTTGACTTTTCGATTTGGTGCAGTTTTCCGGTATTCGGTATTGGGAACCCACCCATAGTTGTAGATCAACTCCACGTTTCTACTAGTTCAAATTTAACCTGCCCAAATCAATATGGAAACTTACGAAACTTACTTTGTATTAGCAACGAGTTCACTGTACCACAAGAGGAGTTGAAACTCTCTCTCTCGCGCGACAATGTAGATATTATTCGTACTCTAAACGGTGAATAGGTTCTGATCAAAGGAGTTTGGAGTCGAGATGGGAAATTAATTCAACCAATCAACCAAAAAAATCTCACTTTCAAGTTAGTTGAATTCGATTGCATATGCTGTTAATGTTAAAAAAAAAGTTTTCGTAATTTGATTACCTTTTCACTAGTAGTTAATCTACAATAATCTTTTACATTTATACAAAAATAGCAATCTTCACATCTAATTTGATTATAACTTTGTAGGATACTTACTTTCTATAGCCAATTAAATTACATTAATGGGATATAAAAAATTAAACGGTCAATAAATTTAGCTTAATTTCAACAATTTATTAGGTTTCATCCAACGGACTGGATCGTTTGGCCACTCATTCGGATAGAGTTCCCCAAAATGCAAGTATAAGTTAGAGTACACAAAATAGTGACGCCATAAGAGACCTACAAATTTCATTGGCGTTATTTCACTTTGTGGTTTTGTGGCTGAAAGAAGCGGGGCAGAGGTAAGAGGGAGAGTTTGAATTTAAAATTTGTGGGTTCGTGATTGCAGTTCTTTTAAATTAATAGGTTCTAAATCAATAATTTGTATGTATTCATTAGATATTAATAATGCAAATACAATGTTTGAACCAAAGCTACTGGTTCGATTGAACCCGTAGCTGAAGGGCTAGCTCCGTCCCAAGGTAGAGGCAGAGGCAGAGTCATAATTTTTTTAAATTATATGGGTTGTGAATTTTAGAACGACGACTTTAAGCGTATATAATAAAATTTTAAATTTAATTTGTAATTATATATATAAAATAAATTTCTTGACACATACTTTTTGAGAGGATGGGGAAATGGTAGAGGCGGACAACAAAATAAGAGAGGAGGAGAACCCATGTTCCTTGATGAATGCAACGTAAATGTAATTTTGGTAACGGAAAAGGGTCAAATATACCTCTTTATTTTCGAAAATGGTCTAACAATACCCCTCGTTATACTATTGGGTTATCTATACTTCTTCAGTCATACTTTGGGTTTAAATATATCCTTCATTTAAACAGAGGAACACGTGTCATCATCCTGTTGGTCAATTCTAAATATCTCCTAATTAATTAAAAAGAAACATTACCCATATCCGAAAAATAATTTTTTAAAGCAATTCTTTTTTGTAAAAACTGGAAAAAACTAAAATTATTTTTACTAAAAACTGAAAAAAACGAAAATACTTTTTTTTTCAGTTTTTACAAAAAGCTGCTTTAGAAAAAACAAAAAAAAAATTTCTAAAATAATGTTTTTGTAAAAACTGAAAAAGAAAAAGCTGAAAATCAATTTTTTAAAGCAATATTTTTTGTAAAAATTGGAAAAAACTGAAATATTTTTTACTAAAAATTGAAAAAAACGAAATTTTTTTTTTTCAGTTTTTACACAAAAACTGCTTTAAAAAAAGCTGAAAAATATTTTCTAAAACAATATTTTTGTACAATTTAAAAAAAAAACTTAAAAGCAATTTTCTAAAGCAATATTTTTTCAGTTTTTAGTTAAAAATATTTCAGTTTTTAATTGTTTTAGAAAATTGCTTTTCAGTTTTTTTTCCAGTTTATACAAAAATATTGTTTTAGAAAATATTTTTCAGTTTTTTTAAAGCAGTGTTTTTGTAAAAACTGAAAAAAAAAATATTTTCGTTGTTATCGGTTTTTAGTAAAAAAAGTAATTTAGTTTTTTCAAGTTTTTAGAAAAAAAAAAATATATTTTTCGGGTACGGGTAATGGGTCTTTTTAATTAATTAGGAGATATTTAAAATTGACCAACAGGATGATGACACGTGTCCCTCCATTTAAATAAGGGGTATATTTAAACTCAAAGTATGACTGTAGGGGTATAAATAATCCTATAGTATAACGAAAACTATTTTAAGACCATTTTTCAAAATAGAAAGATTTATTTGGCCCTTTGCCGTTTTGATAATATTAAAAGTGCATGCAATTTCCATATGTGACGAAAGAATGCTTCCTCTTGCGTGCATGAGCGGATCAGTTTCTCCCACCACTACGCAGCCGCCACCTGTTTACCATGATTAGGACTTCTCTCTTTTTCCAATTTTATTTCTGTTTAGTCTTCACTTTTTTTCTGAGTTCAACTTTTATACACTCATAGTATAAATTAATTAACAATATCAAGTTGGATAGATAATTACAGCTAGCAGCCTTAATAGTCTTTATTTATAAGTGAATATCTACAAAATAATAAATAATCTGTCACATTAAGTTATACTAATAGCACAAAAATAATTTACACTAACGTTATATATAAATTAACTACTTTTTCTATTTAATCCTTTCATTTGATAATTGACTTAGCTGGTAAGTATATATAGGTTTGCAAATCAGCCCTCCTTTATCCACGTGCTCCTATTGGTTTCCACGGGAACGGACGACGTATAAACAGAGAAAAATGGTGAAAGAAATTGTACGGTACGTAATATATTAGACATTTTTGGAGATCAAAATATAGCTTACCAAATAAAGTTGGCATTTTGTCAATGCAAAGGCAATAGTTTCAAACGAATCATGTAACTAATATTTTGAACATTTAACTCTAACCTTTTGGTAAAGTATTCAGAAAAATTAGAACAATCTAATACATAAGCACTAGCTATGTGATCGATCGTCTCGTGTTTACATTAATAAGATCGTGAATATGATACTTAAGTCGAAATCATTTAAATTCCCACCCAGTATATACTGTACCTAAAATATTAGTGATGAAAAGTATTGTCGTCCTTGATGTTTCCTAAATTTGGCGATTATAGGTCTAAATATATTCCCTAATTAGATTACTGATATATTACAATTGTTGAGTTCAAACTCAAGATTAGCAAGAATAAAAAGGATTTCAAACTCAGGATAATTAATTATGGGAGGATGCATGGATGATATTATTCAGCTTTTAAGGGTGGTTCTTCTCATCATTTAGTTGGAGGAGACTTTTATTTCCTCATTATTATAAGAAGGGAACAAAACCAAGAAATTTAAAGATAAATTAACTCTCCCTGTCTATAGTAACAAAGTAGCTAGCTAGATGACAAACATTGAGGGGTATAAGTGGCATTTCATATTAAAGGAGAAAACAAATACAAAGCTCCCACGTATGTCATGTTTCATTGGTATACAACATGAAGACAAATGAGGGAAAGAGTGTGTATATATATATATAAGCATAATGCAATCAAGTTATTAGGTAGGATTAGAAGGAGGCAGCGCCCCAAAAATCAACTATTAATTAGAATATGGGAAGGTCTCCTTGTTGTGATGAAGGTGGTCTTAAGAAAGGTCCTTGGACTCCTGAAGAAGATCAAAAACTCATCAACCATATCAAAAAGCATGGCCATGGCAGCTGGAGAGCCCTCCCTAAACTTGCAGGTACATACAATTTTACACATATAAACAACTTATTCTTAATTCACTATAAAATGAACTGCAATTAGCTACGAAATTCATATCAATTTTTTGATAATCTGTCGCTACGAAATATGTTGTTTAGTGATGAAATCCGTCCGACTTTATTTCTCATATGATTTCTGAACCTTCTTGGTAAATGCATGTCCCAGGTCTGAATAGATGTGGAAAGAGTTGTAGATTGCGGTGGACTAATTATCTAAGGCCAGATATCAAGAGAGGCAAGTTTTCTCAAGAAGAAGAACAAACAATCCTCAATCTTCATGCTATTCTTGGCAACAAGTAAATATTCAATCACTTTTTTCTTTCTCTTTCCTAGCTCCTTTTTTTTTTTTTGAAAGAAAATAAATTTGGCTAGCTACTAGCTAGGTTCTTGAAAATAAATATACTCACATATTGTTTTAATTAAGGTGGTCAGCAATTGCAACACATCTACCGGGAAGAACTGATAATGAAATAAAGAATTTCTGGAACACGCATCTGAAGAAGAAGCTGATACAAATGGGATATGATCCAATGACTCATCGGCCTCGGACCGATATTTTTAACAGTTTACCTCATCTTATAGCTTTGGCTAATTTGAAGGAGTTATTAGTTGAACAACATCACTCATCATTGGAAGGACAAGCTATGAGATTACAATCAGAAATGGCTACACTTCAATATTTGCATTACCTTCTTCAACCTCCTCCAACTACTCCAAATATGGCAGATGTGGAAGCTTACACTCTTTTAAACTCAATGAAAGATGGCCAATTTATAAGCACAAACCACTTGGAAAATTCCTTGAATAATATTCCATCAATACTACCTTCAAGTAGTCTTCGAGCTGTTCAAGATTCAATCCCTTTCTCTCATTTGCCTGAATTACAAGCACCTGCTCTTTGCAGTAACTTCCAATTAACATCTCTGAATAATAAAGAGAATATGATTCAATTATCTGTTCTAAGCCGAGATGATCAAAACATGACACCTACTTCATCACCATGGCCTCCAACTTCTTTATCTCCATCTCCTCGTCCCCCGGCAGCTGCAGCAATAAATGATATTAATATAGCTGGGGATAGTAATTGTAGTACTTCTTTATTTGGAGGAGCCTGGCCTGAGATTCTCCTTGAAGACTCTTTGTTCCATGATATTCCATAGTCTGTTAATTATATATCACTACTAGCAATATAGTATGAAAGGCTTGAGTTTCTTGTTTTACCACTTTTTTTACTTTTTTTTTTCCTTAGTTGTTTTCCGTCCCTTGTTTGAATCTTTTTTTTTTCTTTCTATAGAACATATACTGTCAATTATTTAATACTACTGTGTATAAGAATGCGTTGACATGTAGTATATGTAGGCTTCTGTATATTCCTTTTTTTTACTCATAATCTTTCTTCTTTTTCTGAATTAATTAGTTAGTGAAAATTTTATTCTTTTTTCCTTCATGAATTGGTAGTGATTGATACTACGTAGGGTAAGGCATGAATGATTTTGTAATAATCATGCAAAAAGCTGCTGAATGGAGACAAGAAGCACGTAAACTAGAACCATGCACATAATACCAACCAAATTGGAGCAGTCCAAAGTAAAGTTACATAGGTTTTTAGCACTTTAGCTTCTGTCTTTTGTTTTGTTTTGTTTCTTGTTGGCTGCTTTTGGAGTTATATATATTCACTTTTATTAGCAAATATGCTCGTATTGTTGTCCTACCGGAAGGAGAAAATCATAGGGAATGATAAGGGATAGAAGAAAACAAGTAGAAACAAACAGCCACTGTCCCTTCACTGGTCTTTCTCTTTTCGTCTCTCTTAAGTTTCTTTGTTCTTGCTGAGAACTTTCAAAGATTAGAACTAATATTTAAAAAAAGTAAAAGAGAGAATTTGGTTGCTCTACTGTGAGCACCCTCCACTTCCAACCAAGAGGTTGTGAGTTCGAGTTACCCCAAGAGCAAGGTGGGGAGTTCTTGGAAGGAGGGAGCCAAGGGTCTATCGGAAACAGCCGGGGTAAGGTCTGCGTACAAACTACCCTCCCCAGACCCCACTAGTGAGATTATACTAGATTGTTGTCTTTGTTCAAGAAAACCTCCAAGGGTTCAGTTAGTTACTGGGGTTAGGATAATGATCCCGGTATAAAACTTTATCCCATAATTGGTTATTATTCCATAGATTATAAAAATTCATAAAGAAAGACAGAATGAATAAATTCAATTAACTAAAAACAATACGTATTATTTTTGTACCAAATCATAGTATTATCCACGGGCGGCCGGACGAGTTCTGTGGCCTAAAGCCAAACTTTATGACGGGCCTTAATTTGTTTTTTTAAAAAATATATTATTTATTTATTTGAAGTCTATTTTTTCTAGTGTTTCTTAGATACAAAGTTATTAATAATTTTCTTATAATCAATAACTACTAATAAGTCTTTCTTAATTGACAGTATAACTAATCTATTTAACCTTTCTTGAGACATTGCTGATCTTAGGTAAGATTTTATCAATTTTAATTTTGAAAATTTCTTTCTGCTGAAGCGATGGTAACAAGAGTTATTAACATTATTCCATAAGTAATATAGGCATTGAAAAAATAATCAAATCTTTTTATTTGATCGGGTGTATCAATTAAACTGTTATCTTCTAATTGTACTATTTTTCTTAATATTTTTAATTTTGAAAATAAATCTAAACCATCAATATCGAATTGATTATTATGCTTTAAGGAACATTCAAGATTAAGACAATATTTTTTAAATTTCCATCATCTAGTGATCTTAGTTTTTACCGCTAAATAGAAAATCAAAAGTATTTTCATATGCTTCGAATTGTTCAAATCTATTTTGAAGTGATAAAAATAGGTTTGTCTACTATGTATAAAGTAATCAACTCCAAAGGACTTTTCGAAAGATTTTGAGATTTTATAATCAACATTCTCCAAATTATTACTTCCTATATATCATAGGTTTCTTACGAAATTCGAGTTCAATATTCATTTCAAGTGCAATTTTCGTGGCAAAAATCATAGCAGTTGTAAATCCTTCTTCTATATACTCGTTAAAGAAAGAAATCAAATTTTTTCACTTCACAAAACTATTTTTTTAAATTATACATAGTCTATTAGGTATAACAAAAAATAGGGCCCCCACAAATATAAGGCCTAAAGCAATTGCTTTACTTACCTTATGGATGGGCCGCCCCTGGTATTATCTATCCCATATAGGATGTGGGATTATAATCCCAGAATATCCATGTCCGAACCAAACGACCCCTAAGACTTTTAATAGGCCTTTTTTTAATTTGGTCCCATTCCGATGTTTTTATTTTTTCCTTGATTGACATATATTGTTTCTGCACAATTATTTACTTAATTAATAAAACTAATTTGTTGAAGCCTATATCATATTACTATATCTAGAGTCTATTTATGACATCAATCCGAAAGGCGGAGGTAGGAGCAGAAGTTCACTGAAAAATTACCCTATGTATATAAGGTTAAATATTTCTATTTATTTATGTATATCTATTAAATATTGAATCTCTTCTTTTTCGCGTATTAATCTCTCTTATTCTCTGAATTTGCTTGGCGAAAATCATACATGTGCGACTAAATTTCATGTAGCTAGGAGAAGATGATCCAACGGCTCAAACATGTTTATAGATAATTTTTTCGTTAAAGGTTTGGGTATTTAATTTCTACGAAGTTGTTTATTAATTACTATTCTGACTTTCTGAGAGAGTAGCTGCAGAAACTACATGTTTAATATATTTTCCCCAGCCTTTAGGGTTTGGACTTTAATAAACATGAGAGAGATCATGGTAGGGGAAGAAGGAAAAAGGATACATGAAGAAGAAAGGGTGGATGAGTTGACTAGATGATAAAGTCAAAAAAGGGTGACGTAAAATGATTCTCAATGATAATTAGGGGGACCCAAAGTAGTTAGGAAAACCAAAGGTTTAATTAATTAAGAATTCGTTCGCTTGATGTCTTTTGCAAATGATTTGAAATGGATAGCTACTACTTCCCTAACCCATTTATCTTGACTTCGACTGTCATAATCGAAGAAAAACTAAATTGCATGGATACAGTATATGGTTTCATGGTCTGTTGAAACAGAGAATTTTTTCACTTCTTTATTCCCTTAAAAAGAGCTAGGTCAGATGCGGAACTATGATTTGAAATTTATGTTCAGAATTCTAATTCTTTTAAATTATTTGGTTCTAAATTAATAATTTGTTCATATTCAAATAAATTTCTTAAGATAAATATAAAATTTGTATTAAAGTTACTGGATTCGATCAAACCGGTAAACTCTATGCTAGCTCCGTACCTGAGTGAGCGCAGGCACAACTACAAATGTAATATCACAATTTCTTCCTCCACAAGTCTTGACTACCTATATGTAAATTAAATTTTACATATAGTTTAGGATAGTTGTTGAATACGAGATATAGAAATTTGAGACAACGCTCTGACAGGAATGAAGACTTATGGAACTTGTGGTCCAAAAAATATCATAATTACTGGCTATATAATTTTTGAAACTTGTAGTGTTAAATAGACTATGATATATATGTGGCTATATATAAAGTCATATCAAAAGGTAAAATAGGATGTTTCAAATATAGAAACGTGTAATAATTTTTTAAAGGGGATATAAAGAAAAGTATCACACAATAAAATGGATGGAATATCTTTCTTTTTTTTCCTTTCTAATTAAAATTAGAACTGTAGCACGACTGGAAAGAGTATAATTGGAGAAAGATATCTTTATGATGATTAGTATTTAACAAGCCATTAATTTATTGTAAACTTCATAATAATAAATAGAAAATCATTGTCTGAGAGAATTATGCCTTAAAACGTTATCGTAAATTTCCACTAGAAATAAAGCTATTGGATGCATTAAAATGAAGGTCAATTAACAAAATGTCATTTCAGTATTGTTTTTCTATTGATCTTAAGTATTGGAAATTAATGCTGAATATCAGTATTTGAGTTTCAATTGGTGTCACTACCCAAAAATCACACCCTCGGAATCGTGATGGCGCCTAACATTTCATTTGCTAGGCAAGCCAATGTTAGAATAGCTTATCCATTTTAACGGTTCAAATAAACCAATAATAAGAGAACCGAAATAGCTAAAATAAATTCTGAAATAAAGTGCGAAAAGCCATAACATCTGAAATATCTAATACGCCCCGAATCTGGTGTCACAAGTACACAAGCTACTAGAAGTTCTACAAATAGAGCCTTAAATAAATGCAATTGTTTCGAATGATATGAACAGTAAAAAAGGAAAGAGGAACAAGGTCTGCGGATGTCAGCAGATCTACCTCAATTCTCCGAATGATAATCCGAGCTAGCGCACCTCATGTACAGTTGGTACAAGTACCAAAATCTGTACACGAAATACAGAGTGTAGTTTGAGTACAATCAATCCAATATACTCCGTAAGTATCGAGCCTAACCTCGACGAGGTAGTGACGGGGCTATGACAGAACACTCACGTAATTAAACATGTACAAATATCGATATATGTACCAAACAACAACATAATAGAGATTTAATATGTACCGTTTGGAGGGGACATGCGAAAGGGGAAAAGATACGATAACTACAACAGGAAACACAACACAGACGGTCAAATAATTCGTCAACCAAAGAGGACAAATAACAAACGATATGAAAATGGCATGGCATCACCATTCGTGTTTTTACTCGCATCATTACTATGAAATGATGTCATAAGAGAAATGAAATGTCCACGGCATCATCCTTCATACTTTTACTCTCATCCTTGCCATGTAACAGTGAATAACTGATATAGATTGGCATGACATCACTCTTCGTGCTTTAACTCTCTTCCTCACCATATATTAATCAGTAATTAAGGTAATGAAATGGCACGACATCACCCTTCGAGATTTAATACTCTCCCTTACCATGTCGTGATGAATACACAAATTCGGGAGATAAATAATGCAAGGGATATACTTTACGCCAATTATGATTCCAAGATACCAAACCTCAACTTTCACATACTCAACCATTACCAATTATTCCATGAATACGGAAAGAACGATCAAATAAGTAATAATTTAATCTATGCATGGATGTCATAATTAAAGAGGCAATAAATCACAAGGAAACAAGTTCTACCCGCATGCTTTAAGCCAACAAGAATGCATAAGTACTCGTCACCTCACATATATGTTGTACCCACACATTAAACACGTAGTAAATAGGCAAACAAGTTATAACCCCTCAAGTCAAGGTTAACAACAACACTTACCTCGCTCCGCAACCAATTCAAAGTTCAACTACGGCCTTGCCTTTCGAACAAGCATTTGGACCAA